TCAATATAATTATAACGATCAATATAAAATAACAGTAAAAACGTTTAAAAATCTTATTATTTTTGACATCACCAACAAAGAAACTATACTATATGTATGTATTTATAAATGATCAAAAAATACTTGTTCAAATTAACAAACCAATTTGAATTGTTTATACAATACTTATCAAATGTTAATAATAAAACTGTTTGATATGATTAAAAAATGTTTACCACATCTAAAAATGCTTTATTTTTTTCAAGTTTTTAAGATTATTTTCTGATGCATTAACCAGATACGTTTTCAGCTTGAAGTTGTTACATTCATAATCATTATAAAAACACGCTGAAAAACATAACCAATAAAAAGCTTGTTTTTAATGAATAATTTACCTTTTGACTATGGGGAAATCGGTTTAAATATATATATGTACAAGTTTATGTGAGCCACGGAATGTAACTCAAAATTGGTGTATACCGTGATTTTTATAATTTGGTGTTATCTTTTAATTATTAGTCTGATGTTTCTTGTTTACATTATTAAAAGTTACTACCTTTTGTTTTTTAGATTGTTTTTAAAACAAAAGTGTTGCAATAAAGAGTAAAACACGAAAAACAAAATGTTGTTGTAAATTTATTTAAAATTTGTGTTTATAGGTGCTTCTATTTAAATTTTTCATAATTGTTGTAGTTTTGACAAAATACACATGTTTACTGTTGTGGTTTTAATATAAAAACGACAATTCAAAAAGATAATTGTATATAAAATATTGCTTATATTTATCAACAAAAATGAAAATCGTGGAAATTGATATAGTTACACAATAAAATTCTTAATAATGGTTTATATTTGATTATTATTTCTGTTTCAACAATATGTCAAACAAACAACACGAAAATCGCAATAAATTTCAAGAATAACACTGTCATTAACAGTCATCATTCAACTGGAAATTCAATTCAACATTCGCATTTGTATTGACAATATTGTATATCTGTACTTAATTAATTTAAACATATAATTGTGTCGATATTTTTGTTGTTTGAATATATGATAAACATGCATCAAAATGTAATTACTTGTTTATCGATAAATTGTGTTGCATTTTTAGTATTTATAAAATTTACCAAGTAGTTTATATACAATACTTTGATTAATGCCAAAAATGTGTGGTATCCACCAAATAAATTATTGTCACTACAACATTTATTTTTTATATTTTTAACATTTTCGTTAATTATATTATACTGCTTATTTTAAACATTAACCTTAGGAAAAGAAATCTCTATATTTTATTTCAAGATTGATTATTTATAATTAAATCACTTTTTTATAAATAAAAAACATAAACATAAAAAAACAAAATGGAAAAATAAGAAACTGAGGAGTCAGATAGTTTGGATAGTAACAATGTTTCAAAGGACAAAGTTTATGTAGAAAATTGTCACAATAAAATCAACAATTTTGGATGACTTTTATACACAACCTTTATTTTCAATTACCCTCGTTTTTCGTTTCAAACATTTTGATACAATCAAGACTTCCTCAAACAGAGCAAATAAAATCAATAAAAGAATATGGTTTTTGACAATACCATGGAACGTCTAAAAACAAGTACATCAAAACTATTAGATAAAAAAAATCTGAATATTGTCACGACTACAAACAAAAAAACTACTTGTTGCGACATTCGCAACGCAAATCATGTAGTGATTGCAATAGAGTTTGATGTGGTTCAAAATGAATGCTTAAATTTATTGATATGCATTTTGTTTTTTTTGTTTACAAAAAGATCTGGATAGAAAATATTCAGTTTTCCCTTTCCAGCAAAAAAATAAACAAAAACGAGTGACTTTCTAAGGTTAAATATTTTAAGTTTGAAAAAATACACATAAATTTTGTTTACATTTATAACCCTTTTTGTAATTTATCGAAGTTATAATTTAACATTTAAAACATCATTATCTATTTTAATTATTTTGTATTATCTTATTAATGTGTCGCTTTTTTATGTTGAGTTTTGTTGTTTACTTAAAGCACGTACCACTTAATTAATAACACTATTGGTTTATAATTGACATGATTACTTTATTTACAATATTGTATTGTTTTTATTGCTTTTAACAATTATTACAATTTATTAGAAATAAAAAAACAACAAAGTCATAATTAATAAAAAATTTGAATTTATTTTGTTAAATAAAACAAATTAAAAAATAAATTGGTTCATAACAACTTGTAATAAAATTTATAAACAAAAACAAAAAGCACAATTTTGTCCAACTTTTAATATTTAAATAGTAAATAAATTGTATTGTATAATGTGACGAATTATTGGTAAGACCATTTAAAATATATTATTTTTTGTGAAAAAACATAAAATAACTCTTAAAAACAGACTGTAAGAAACATGAAAATAATTATAAATAAATTATTTAACATTATAAAAAACATATATCTTATAAAAATCAAATAACAAATCAAAATTATTTTGTCGATTATTATTATTAAATCGTTGTTTTAAAGTTTTTTTTGAAAAACAACATTAATATTTCAGTAATTTTGACTAAAAGTGATGTTTGAAATTTAAAAAAATAAAAATTTTATTTAATTATAAAACACTAATTTAAATTTTTGATTAGTTTAATATCAAATAAAATAATATAACAACTTTATATCTTTAAACATTAAAATAATTAATTTACAAAAAACAACGAAAAATTAATTTATTATCAATTGTTTTTGGTTAAATTGCATTTTTTCATATATAAGTTCGTTTGAATTTATTAAATAAACATTGACTTATGGCATCTTCAGCACTCACTTATTTCCGACAAACCAAAGACAATGATCCTGAACGTTCTTGGAATTATTTCCATACAGCTGAAGGTATTATGCAACAAAAAGAGGATGAAATTAAAAAGGCTGGAAAGTATGAAGAAGTTTTAAAAGCTTACGAGCAAGCCAAAATTGATCACAAAAAAGTTGTTTTAGACAAAGCGATGATAATTGTGAATAATACTGAGTCTCGATATAAACAACTTGTCGAAGCAAAAACAAAAGCTGATTGGAGAAATTACGACAGTCATGCTAATTACATAACAAAGAATTTCACAAACTTTATAGTGAAGGATACACAGACAAATGTTATGACCATGAAAGAAGAAATTATAAAGGCAAAACCAGAATACAAAAACTATCTTGAGAATTTCTTAACAATTGATCACAAGAAAGTAGTCGAAGAATTAAAAAAAGAAGAGGAATATATAAGCGAAGAAAAGAAGTTTAAAGAAAATATTCGAATGATTAATTCGGCAAGTTACGACAGAGCAAAAAAGTTGCTTGAAAATGCAAAAACCTTTTTGGAAAAATTTGAAGATGTTTTGAATACTAAAAATAACACAGAACATCAACAAACGTACAATGAAGCAACAAGAATAGTTCGATTTGCTATGATCGACTCTGTTTATAATTCGCAATTCTCTTCAATAAAAAGCAAATTGTCAATGGTGGAATATAAAATGAAAGAACACAAAGAAACTCAAAAAGATATAAATGAACTCAAAACACTATTAGAAGAACAAGTTTTTAAAAATGAAGAGGAGTCGTCATTTTTGAAGCTCAAAAGTGAAATGATTATAAGAAAACCAGATACTCAGAAACTTTTTGATTCTTTTGATAATATCAGGCTAAGTCTTGGTGAAAAAATTGAAGACAACAAAATATCAAAAATCGAACAAAAAGCACCCGAAAAGGTCTTTCCAAAAATAGAAAAAACTGTTGAACAAAAAGTTGAACCCAAAATAGAAAAATCCGTTGTCATGCACGACAAAAAAGTTGAAGAAAAGAAAGTTGAAAAGGTAGAAAACAAACCCCCAAAAGTTGTTTTAGTTGACGATACAAAGTTAAAAGAATTTGAGTCTAAATTAACGAAATCGTTGACTGAAATAACTAAAACGGATATTTACTCATTATTAGTAAACGAAGGAAACACACTTAAAAGGTTATTAGACCAGAACACAACTTTAATTAATAATTCTAATAACAAATATTCAAAGTTAATAGAAGACGCTTTTACAAAGATAAAAAATTCAGTGATTCAGTATTATATAGAAAACACAAAAATACTGAAAATGAAGCTTGAGAAGACTAATAATTCCGACACAATGGACATCGTAAAGAATAAAAAAGTCCTTATTGATTATCTAAACAAGCCATTGATCACCAATTGTAATGAAACATTTAACACTTTAAAATCCGAGCTAACTGAACGTTCAGAAGACTTACGCGAAATTTTTAATGCGATTGACTATGTCATCAATGGAAAGAAGACTCAAGAAAAGAAACAGCAAACAACTGAAGACAAAGAAATTCAGAAGAAATTGTTTGAGAAGACTTCTGCAATGCAAATGGCAATTTCATCGATAACAGAAAACAACCGTTTTGACCGTCAAACTAAAAAAATGAAAATTGAAAAAATTGGCGACTTAATTCTTGTGCAATTGATGGAAATAAAGTTCCTTGAAATTCAGTCGAACGACAAACAAGAAAAAGAAAATTTGAAACATCAATTTGAAGTCCATTTTGATCGAATTTCTAATTCTTTGGGAGAGAAAGCACTCATTTTTGCAAAGAAGAGAACTAGCGAAGCAGAAGAAAATTCAGTGTTTACGCAAATGCACGCAAATGACTTCTCGACTAAACTCGACCAAATTTTAGAAAGTTTAGTTATGATGGAAAAGTTCTTCCAGTATTGTGAAAAAACTGAAACATATTTCCCGGCACTTCAACTCATTTCTATAGCAAAAAAGTTTGTGGATTTTTCACATGAAATTTCAAAGGAAAAGGAGTTTGGAAAGGTCGAGAAGGAAAAAGAAGCTTCGAGAAAAATTGAAAACTTTTTGAAAACTTCGACATTGGCGAAAATGATGAAAAACGAGAAAGACGAACTTTTGGACATTGAAGAACGATGCGAAAAGGAATTTTTGAGTAAGTTGGTAATGTTTTTGAAAGAACGATTTGATGTGTTAAAAAAGTCGAAATCGTTTGAATGTGAAAGTTTTGTGCATCAATATTCACAGATTGCATTAATAGTAAAAGGGGCTTTGATGTTCACTAAAACGTTTTCTCAACAATTTGCAGATGGAAATAAAGATATCAAAGAAATTAAAAGTTTATATACTGAAATTGATAATTTGATTGAAAAGAACAACTTGACGTTCGAAGAGATTTTGGCGGTCGAAGGAGCAATGTCATGCCTTGAAAGTACAAAGAAACAAGAAGATGAAAGAACTGTTAAAACTGTATATAATAAATATGTCCATAAAACACAATTAGAAAAGTTCGAAAACATTTTGAAAACCAAAAATAGAAACGCAGACTTTTTCAGAAATAAAATGGAGTTATTGAATACCGAAGAAAATAAAGAAAAAGTAGATTTTTATGAACAAAGTTTTAATGAACACAGAAAGAAATACTTCACTGAGAATACTCAAAAGGAAAACAAAGAAATTGTCGAATGGATGAAACGGCTCTTTGACTACACAAATTACGAATCATTGAATTTCACCATCTCACAACAAGAAAAGAAATCGTTTATTGAAAAAATATCAAAAGAAACAATTAAAACCAGTGAAATTAAAAATAGACTGAATAAAGTTGTAACAGAGAAAAATACGATAATGGACTTTTTATTAATAGGAGAAACATTCAACGAAAAAGATGTAAAAAATTCAAAAATATTGAGTAATGTGGACTTTCAATTGTTCGACAAATTTGTGAAAGAAATGACTTTGAAATGTTACACATTAGAAATGGCAGTTTTTCTGTTTGGAATTAAATTTGTTGATTTCCCCGATTCTATTAAAGAAAGTTTGAAACTTTACAACGTCTTAATTTTGCTCAAGACATGTGCAAAAATAGAAATGATTAACATCTTAAATCAACAAGAGAAAGTTCACGAAGTGTACATTAATTATAACACCAATTTGTTATTAAAACTTAAAGGCATTGTTGTAGCACTTAAAGACCAGATACCAAAAGATATTCACATTGAAGTTTTAAACAATTATATAACAAAGGCCACAAAAGAAATAAATGTAGATCCAACAAAAATGTTGTTATTTAAAAGTGAATTAAAGTTCATTGATAATTATATCAAAACATCAGTAAAACTGAACACAAAGGAATTTCACAATGTTATTCAAAACAATTCAACCGCCGCGGTGTTAAGAGCAAATTATTCATTTTCAGATAAAGTCAGAATTTTCGTTAAAAAAGTCGACACCGAAAATTTTGATATTTTTGGATTTTTACCAAACGTTTTCTCTCAGGTACAATCGACTTTCCCACTTGCAAATAAAACGCCTCAGAGTGACTGTGGCAGTACAAAAAGTATTTTTGGCGACGTCTCTGCAAATTCAGTTAAAAATTTTATTTCTGAATTTGATTTATTCGAAGAATTTGATTTCAAAACTGATTTTAATAATTTCAACTTCAAACAGCTTTTATTGAATGCCAATAACTCTCAAATCAATGCATTGATGTGTAAAAATGAACACTCGCTCTATCAATTTAATTTACTCGACTTCTATTCGAGAACACTAAAAATAGAACTCCCACTTTCAATTGAAAACGACGACAATTTGATTATTAAAGAATATATTATTAACAGTTTTAATAACAACAAATTTGAAGGGAATATGTGGTACCAAATTAAAAATAAAGAAACCACTGAGACCATTGAACACCTTTTGAACTTCGCTGGATATCAATTGGACGCACCTAAAAGCCTTCCAACCGATTTTGTGTTTGGATGTGCAGTCCCTTTGTGCACTTCTACTGGATATTTCTCTTTGGAAAATGTCAAAGAAAAGACGTGCGGAGTACTTTTTAATGTGAATTACGAAAGAAAATATAAAGAATTTATAGAAGACTCTAAATACGAATTAACAAAAACAACTAATTTCGTCAAAACAGCAATTTTTGAAATGTTAAGGCAAGTCGTAGAAGAAAATTACATTAAAAATTGTAAACCAAAATTCGACAAAATGTACAAAGAATATTATGATAAAGTGTATGCGAAAGAAGTTGCTAAATACACAAATAAAGTAATATTAACTGGTCTTGGAGCCACTTTTGAAATTGAGAAGACGAATGTTGGCTTCTCTATTAGAGTAAAAACAAGTGATAATTCTCGAGCTAATAAATATCAATACAACTACAATTTGACTAAAGAGTTGGATGGAATGGAACTTGTTTATGACACTGGAATGTGTTATAAAAGAACTGATGGGCTTTTTGAATGGACGTATAGAGACTATTTCGCTATGAAACATAACACTCAAAAACGCTTTGAGTTTGACCAAAAGAACGAAATTAATCTTCCTGCAGACTTATTAGTCATGATAACTTATATCGAAAAGATGGACATGTTCTATGACAATATTGATCAGAAAATAAAAGAAGATAAAAAAGAGCGAAAGAGAATTGATGAAATAAACAAGATGAGGGGAATGGGGATATTTATTTCGTATTAATTAAGTCATTTTTCGAAATATTTTTTATTTAACACGCTCAAAACAGAAACGTAATAATAATAAGTTTTTATTTTTTTTACCTAAACCCTTTTTTTGCCTTCATACACAAAACAAATTTTTGAAAATTTTTATTTTTTTATAAACTCAAATTTGAATTGTATATTTTATAGTCACACAAATAAACATGAATGAGTTTATTTGTGTGAAACAAGAGCAAAGCATTAGAAAGAAAAATGGGGTCTAATGAT